GCCGCGCGCCCGGCCGGCGCCCCCGCTTCATGGCTGCGCACGAATGGGACTGGTTCCAACGCGAGGGCTTCATCGGGCAGCTCAGCGACATCCGAGTCCAGAACCTTCAAGGTACGCACCCCAGCCTCCCCGGGAGGGCACCCCAGAGCAAGTCCGAGCGCGCGCCCGGGGACCCGCGCCGAGACTTGGCACCTCTGCCCCGCACCGCCCCCGTGCCCCTGGCCTGACCTCGTTCGGGTCACTTCACCAGGGCTGCGGGGGGCCGGGACTGAGACAGCCGCCCTCTAGCCCGGCCTGGCTACCTCGGCCGGGTTTACAGTGGCCGGCGATAGGTTGCACGTGAGCGTGTCCGGGGCCCCCATTTTCATTCGGGGCCTGTCTTCCACGGAACGGCCACCCTCCAGCCCCCGCGGCAAGTTTGGAGAAGTTCTGTGCCTGGGTTCTTGGGGGCGGTGGCCCAGGTCAGGGAGGGGAGAGAGAGAAAAGTGCGACGGCGTGTGTGGATGTGTGTTCGCACACTTCCCAAGTACCTTTGAGACTCCAGACTCTGGGGAGTCAAACGGGGCGGCGCCGCGGAGTGTGGGAGGGAAGGAGGGGTCCCGGGCTCCGCGGGGTTGGCGGGCACTTCAGGCTAGCCACTTCCCTCAGGGTGCTGCCCCTCCGCTCCTGGGGCTGGAACTGGGGAGAGGGCGAGAAGCGCCCTCCCACCCCCACCCCATTCCCTAGTCCTAGCCTGCACGGAACTCTCAGACTTTTCCGCCTACCTTGGATTGAGATGAGGCGAAGGGTGTATGTGTGACAAGGGCTGAGGGTGGCTTGTACCACGGATGAAGTGTGTTTATCTTTCAAGAGTTTGTTCATTGTGAAACTTAGAAAGTGCCCAGGTATTTAGAGGAGAAAAAAATCACCCACTGTCACCACCCCAGCCAAAGAGAGCTCCTTTTGGTGGACGTTTATTTCCAGCCTCTTTTTCATAAGTGGGCTTTGCAGAACTGGATGGAGTTCAGTTTCCGGCCTCTCTCTTTCCTTAGGCACTTCACCTGCAGGCTTGGGTTCCTAGACATTCTAGGGTTGGCGGTGGCTTTGGGGAGAGCTTGGGGGAGCTGGAAGGCCTGAGCAGAGATGGGGCTGTAGGTGCCCCCACCACCAGCAGGTGCAGCGCCATCACTGCTTGAGGGCAGGGAGCCCCAGGGGGCCCGGGTGCAGGCAAGGGGCTGGCCCAGCAGTTAAGTTTAAACATTACACCTGATAGACTGCTTCCTGGGAGCCCACGTGGACCTGCTCCACCCCCAGATTGGGCAAGGACAGTGCAGGCAGGGGTGACTTGGAGCTGAGGAGGGGAGCCTTGTGCAGTGGACACTGGAAGTGGAGTTTGCTCTAGGCTCCCTGGTCTCCTCTGGCTGTGATTTGTGTCAAAAAGGAAGATCGGGCTAGAGATGTTGAAAATGGTCCCTTTGGATAATAGGCACAGATCCGGATCCTGTTGCCTGAAAAGAACTGACATCCTTTTTGGGGGAGGGCATTAGTATCTTTTGCTGAGATGGTGTCTGGTTTGGGCTCTCAGGGCGTGCGTATCTTAGGTGACCAGCGAGTGTTTAATAAGCATATGCTAACCAATGATTGGTGCGACAGTTTCCTGCTTTCTGGTAACACTCCTTTATGGCTGGGATCTGCGCCTCCAGGAGCAGGTCCTAGGGTAGAGGAGACCAAGTGTTGTGAAGGGATGCGCTGCAGTGTGAGCAGTAGTTACACCTAGGACAGTGGGAGAACGCTTCAAAAAACAGGGACAATTTGAGATGGGTCCTGAAGGATGAGTAGGAGTTCACTGAGTGGGCTCCTCCCTCTCCCTCTGCTCCGAGTGAATTATCCTCTATAAAGTGCACTAATCTCAAATTTAAGCTCTATGGATTTTTATGTATGGATACCAGAGACAGATTACCCAACAAGCAAGGTACGCACGGGCTTACTTGTGCTTACTTACTAATCTGTAGTGTACAATTTCACCACGTCAAAGATGTGGTGAAACCTTTGTGAAATTGTGCACTATAGGTTAGTAAGTAAACACAGTTAAGCCCTGCTTACCTTGCTTACTGTAAACCTGTGCATACCTTGCTTACCTGTTAACCCACCCCTGAATTGGATACACAGGTGTAACCACGACTCAGCTCAAGATACAGATGATTTTCAGTACCCTACACCAGTCCCTTGTCTCACTTCTCAATTAGTAAACCCCCTGTGCCAGGGTAACTAATATTCTGACTTCTATCACCATATTACTCTAGAACTTCATGTAAAAATTGAATCACAGAGTATGTACTCTTTGTATCTGGCATTTTTGCTCAACGTTATCTTTGTGAGATTCATCCATATGGTTGCCTGTATCAGTATAGTTCCTTTCTATGGTCGAGCACGGTTCCACTGTATGGATGTACCACGATTTGTTTATCCGTCCGTCTGCTGAGGGACATTTGGGTTGTTTGCAGTTGGTGCTGTTGTGAATGAGGCGTGTGTGCCTTTAGAGAGAGACCCTGGAGCTGCCGGCTTGGGTTTGCTGCTCTGCCCAGCGTTGCTGATTGGAGGCTGGGAGTGGAGTTGGGGGCAGGAATCTGTCTTCTTTCTTGGTTTCCCTGTCTCTTGACTGGATGCCCAACAGACGTTTTCTCTCCTTGCCCCTCTGGTACCCAGGAAGTGCCAACCAAAGGGCAAGTCCTGAAGGCACCTCACGCATGCTCAGAGCATCTGACCAAACCAGCTGACGGCCATCAGCCTGACCTGGATGTGACTGGACCGTCAGCTCTGGGGACACTGGCAGGTCCTTGCCCATCTTAGCTCCGTGTGGGTGGCAGTCAGGGAGGTAGGAGAAGGCCGCTGGAAGGGCGACTTTTTAAGCTGTGTGTGACTTGCTGCCCAGGTAGTTGCAGTTGTCATGGTAATGGGAGGTGGGTACAGTGGGGCTTCAGGAATCTGTAATAATAGTATTGAGAAGGATTCCCAGCCTCCATCTGCAGGCGGCAGCTGCTCTCAGGCTAGGCGGTCCTGATTTTTTTCAGGAAGCTTTCTCTCTCAGGCCTGGGGCAGAGTGGTTCTGGGCTCAGTAAGTAGAGATTGCATCCGCTGAGAAACTGCATTTCCGGGAGGAAAGGTTTAGTAACATAGCTGCACTTGTATAGCACTGGGCTGCCAACCAAAAGGTTGGTGGTTCAGACCCACCCAGAGGCGCCTCAGAAGAAAGTCCTGGTCATAACATAGTTTATAAAGAAAATGTTCTACATCCTACTTTGGTGAGTAGCTTGGGAGCGACCATCTAAGATACTCCTCTGATATCACCCTGTCTGGAGCAAGGGAGAATGAAGAAAACCAAAGACACAAGGGAAAGATTAGTCCAAAGGACTAATGGAGCACAAGTACCACAGCCTCCACCAGACTGAGTCCAGCACAACTAGATGGTGCCCGGCTACCACCACCGACTGCTCTGACAGGGATCACGATAGAGGGTCCCGGATAGGGCTGGAGAAAAATGTAGAACAAAATTCTAACTCACAAAAAAAGACCAGACTTGCTGGTCTGACAGAAACTGGAGAAACCCCTAGAGTATGACCCCCTGACACCCTTATAGCTCAGTACTGAAGTCACTCCTGAGGTTCACCCATCAGCCAAAGATTAGACAGGCCCATAAAACAAAATGAGACTAAATGGGCACACCAGCCCAGGGGCAAGGACTAGAAGGTAGAAGGGGACAGTAGTAGTAGGGAATCCAAGGTCAAGAAGGGGAGAGTGTTGACATGTCGTGGGGTTGGCAGCCAATGTCACAAAACAATATGTGTATTAATTGTTTAATGAGAAACTAATTTGCTCTGTAAGCCTTCATCTAAAGTACAGTTGAAAAAAAGATTTAAAAAAGTCATAGTTTGGATTTGTATACTTTAGTATTTAGCGGCAAAATGTCAGTAATTTACTTGAAAGCAAAAATAGATGAAGCAATTATGACAACATGTTAACAATTGTTAAATGTAGGTAAAAAACAAAAGAAGAAGAAGAAAGGCCTGGTGATCTGCTTCTGAAAAAATCACAGCCATTGGAAGCCCTATGGAGGACAGTTCTACTCTGACACACACAGGCTCGCCGTGAGTCAATGTTGACTCAACGGCAACTATTTTTTTTCATCTGTCTTTCTATATATCTCCATGTTTAAGCTGCAAGTATCTTGATATCTCTGTGTTTAGGTTGGAAGCATCTTGGTCCCTGCTCACTTGCTCTTCTGAGGCCTCTATCTATCTCCCTGAATTATGGATTATGGAATGCAGGCCGATAGGATTGTGATGTCACCAGATCACCCCCTAAGGAATGCTGGAATGAAGATTACCTGACCTGTCTTTGGAGACCAGGGTGAGCGGGCAGAAAGTATGGCCTCTCCCCGGAGACTTGCCCCTCATCACCCTGTGTCCGCCCCGGGGAGATGAAGGTGCTTACTGATACGTTCATGTTGATGGCTCAGAGAGTTGTTTGTGAACGAGGGACTCTCAGGCACAGCATGGATGTCCTTCTGGGCCAAGGCTGCCTGTGCCACCCCCACAGGGCCCCTTGCAAGGAAACGGGGGTGGCCCAAGCTGTTGACCTTTACAGAAAGGAGAAAATGGCATTGCAGGGATGTGGGCAGCCTCCGCCTGGTAGCCCCTCCTTCCTCGGAGCCACATGGGGTAGAATGAGGTTAGAGGGGGTCAGCTAACTGGCCTGGGCCTTAGGTCTCTGCCTGCCGGGGGGCTGCTGGGGGCTCCAGCGCCTCTCCAGTGGCAAGGCTATGCTGGCTGCTCCCTTCCCTTTTGCCTTGGCAGCAGGCTTCCACTGAATGCTCCACAAGTTTGGGGGTCACTTGCCTGCTTGGGCAAAGGAAGCGCTGGGCCAGCATTTGGAAGATGCTCCTGTTCATGCAGAAAGCCTTGAGCACCCAAAGAATTCACAACCCCCCTCTGTTCAGTGTAGCAAACATGGACTACGTGCAGACCCTGGGGATGCAGAGCTGGTTCTAGTCCCTGCCTCTAAGGAGCATGACACTGTCGTGGGCTCCCAGCCAGACTGGGCTACTTGGCAGGGGCTCAGATTTTCTGACTCTA